TCATGTGATTGAATTCGATAAGTAATTTGTAGTACTATAAATAGATGGCGCTGTTAGCAGTAGGATAATTTGGTACTTAATATTTAAATCACTTTTTTATTTAATGTGATTTTCTCATTAATGTGATAGAATATCTGTTCGTACCTTAATTAGAAGAGGCGCTATTTGTAATTAGACGTGTAAAGTCGCTATTTGTATGTTTTTGAAACATATGTTTTTCCGACGGTTACTTCTGCATTGTTTTCAGTATTTTGTCACTTCACTTGGATATATTTTGTCTTTATTTCAATTTCACTACACTATTTTTACACGGCACACATGATCATTGCCAAAAAAAGTAGAAATTAGTTCTCAAATTATTTAAAAAACATTTAAATTATAAGAGCCAATGTTAACTGTGACACAACTACCCCCACCCTCCTCCCGATAGCTCTCCCTTAAGATTAAGTATCTAACTTACTAGGAAAACAGAAATGTGATATTATTGCACAGCCTTAAATAATTGTTACGTCACCGACTTGTTATAACTATAGTTTGTCTAAATAAGATTTATTAGTTTGAATGAGGTATATGAAGTATCGAATTCAATTTCTATTAAGACAAATGCCGTACTTAATAGACAGGTATCGTAGTAAAACAAACACGCAGCGAACAATTATGAACTATCGATATTCGGTTTAAATAATTATCGAACTCAACTAAAATTATTATTTTCTTATTAACTAATTGAGAGGACAATTCTAGTATTAATTATAGTGTAGAGAATTTAGCGATGACAATAATATTAGCGAAATCCAATTCGATTATGTACAACTGTAGTAGTTATTAACTCTTATTTTCTGTTTGTTCTGTAGTCATTAATGATGTGTTTTTTATTTTATTACATAAGGTATAATTATGAATTAATCGATTCCAACTTCTATGAGAGTAAAATCGAAAATCGAATAGATTCACATCTGATTTTACACAACCCATCCCTACGAAATTGTCAAACTAATCACCCTTATTTAGAAAAACTATATTACCCGTGTACATGATATCTTGCTGATAATTTTCACATACTAATTCACAATATGCCTAGTCAGATTATAATCTGTCTTTGTGAGGCAGTATCGATTTTATGTACCAGGATATCATAACAAGGCAGTGTCTAATACTCGTCAGCCATCATAAGTACGACGAGCGCAGTCCATCCTGTGAACGGCTTGCATCCGGAACCTATGCCGTCTTCTCCGGAGTATTGCTCCCATAGATAACCATTACGTTTGTATTCCGATAACACGTTTTCTGCAAAATAATAAGAAAACAAATATTATAAATGCGAAAGTTTAGATAGATGGATGTTTGTTAGAGCTTGTCGCTTCAACGGCTGAACGGTTTCCGATGAAATTTGACATTTGTCTGAAAGAACACATAAGCTACTTACATTTTTTTAATTCCACAAGGTAAAACCTCGGGCAAAAGCTAATAAATAAAATGTAAGGGCATTCTTTTAGGTTAGAGTGAGATAGTTATAACAATAGCGATTGCTATTTTATTTTAAGCTATCTTTTAATTCGGTAAAAAACTGCATTTTCAATGACAAATATTTCAAGCATCTTAAGAATCAGTCTACCAAATGTTTGTAAATTGTCAAATAACAATCCAATGTGTAAAATATGTGATGGAAATATGGAATTTTGTACGCTTATCTGTCTGTGACGTCATTATTAAGCTATCTGAGCCTCTATCAGTTAGTGATAGGACAGGACCTTAGCTTTTCTTATTAGGTTTTAAAATAACTGCTACTAGGACATCATAAGCTAAATAACTTATAACTATAAGGCAATTTTATACCAGCTGATTAGAACAAAGTACCAGGACTGCATAACATAGCAATGACATTTTTATTCTTAGCGTGATTCTTAGCCAGTACACGGATTGTTGCAACAGCCAGTCATAGATTACTTGACTCACTGTCCCTTTTACAGTTCACGATGCCAGTCCCGTCCAGTTATTCATTGCCACTGTCCTACTGTACTGGCCATGAACCGTGAATGCGTTTGAGACATGGGTCGCCTTGGTTAATGAACTCAAAGTACCAGGATAACATAAAAGATAACTTACGGACGACATTATCTCTCAGTCGGTAGTGAAGATCTGAAGCGCGCTGAGCGTATGGACCTGCGCTTGAGTAGTATTTCAGCGCACGTAATGCTAAATAGTTGATGTTGAGCCAAACTTGACCTCGCCAGTACGGTGGGTCGTGTTCTGTATTCATTTTCATATACAGCGGCGATGATTTTGATAAAGACCTGAATAACAAACAGAATTTTTATACACAAAACACATGTATGAAAACACGAGTTTTCGCGAGCGACTAGAATTGTAGTCTATGTGTTCCAGACTATCCATATATCTATGACTTTCATCAAGATCCGTTAAGCAGTTACTGCTTCAAACTAACAAACATCCATCTATCTAAATTTTCGCATTTATATTAGTAAAAAAGTAGCCTATATGCCCCTCTATGTCAACGAAAATCATGTCGAAATTTTTCAGTGATTACCCGCAACAAACGCTGCTTGCGGACAGACAGACAGACAAACAGACAAAAAAAATTAAATGCGATTATCATTATCAACAACGCTAATACATCATCTTTCCGAAATGTGGAATTTTTCTTTTGATATTACAGACACTCCAATTTTATTACATGATTATTATTTTCTCTGCTTTATTTTTAGATAATGGGAGAGATGATACACTCTGATTTATGTACCAGGATATCATATAATGATAGTAAATAATCTATCACAAGTTAAATGTACTAAATACAAAGTCATTTGAAAGATATATAGACGAGGCAGCAAACATTCACTGGTACTTTCTCTGAAAGGTACTATATCAGTTGTGAAGGCCACTTCGAGTATTGACATGTATTTAAAATAGTAGTGACACTATTGGCAATAAATTTAAATAATAGATAAGGTTACTGAAATGAATTGAAGTGTCAACTATGCCTCTTCTATAAAAATTTTAATCTCTTTATTTAAATACAATCATTCATACAAAATATTTAGTAGTGTTGATAGTTTTACCTAAGTCCATATGGAGACCAGAGCAGTTCAGGCTTGTCTAGGTCTTCCAGAATCTTCCCCAATTTAGGACTCTCCGGTTTTAACACCATCAGCAACATTGGGAACAGAGACACATAACCTGAAGAACATAAAGGAATAATTCTGTAAGTGAAAGAAACAAAAGAATATAGTTGTCTCCCTTACACACTTCATACTTTCATTACTATTATAAATGTGAAAGTTTAGATGTTTGTTAGAGTTTGTAGCCTAAACTGCTGAATGGACCTCAATAAAATTTGGCATAAATGTAGAGGATAGTCTGGAAGAACATATAGACTACTTGGTTTTGTTTTTTTTAATACCACGCGGACGGAATCGCGGGTCGAAGCTAGTTAAATAATATTTAAATGATAATAATTCATTTTGAAACAGTATTTAGTTTATTTTATATTATAATTTAGTAAAATGTTTTATATGTCAATACACAAGGTGAGTCTAAACTTGACAAGTGATAGAGTACCATGCAGAGAAAATACCGGTAAAAAAGTTTTGTCTAGTCTATATTTTTTTTAATGTCTGTGTTACATGTAAGGAAACTGCAGTTAAGAGAGATCTTACCGAAGGCTGAAGTGACTAATTTGGGTTTAGGTGGTACTGACACACTCCGGACCACCCTTGAGGGCTCATTGGGGGGTTTAGCTGGTTGCCGGATTAACCTCACACCGTCTGTGTGAAGACCTGGAATAGAAAAACCAAGCTTTGAAAAGTGTATTTTCGTCATTTCAAAGAGAATATTAGAGATGGCAACATAAAAAAATACAGATGAATTGTATACCTGCTTCTTTAGGGAAGTCGGTTAAAAATAAAAAAAATGATGACCGCAAAGAGATTAAAAATATATATAGAGGAGGCATAGTTGAAACTTCACTTTATTTTTAAAATAATCATCTCTAACGCTATCTAATGCTAGATTCTGAAAACAACATGTCAATATTATTAATTGTGTTTATGCCAAAAGGTGTCATTAAATAATGTATTTTATTAACATTTTATTTGGTAACACTGTTTAGTTTATCTATACTAATATTATAAAAATTAAAGATTTGTATTTTTGTATGTATTGAAATAGCTCAAAAATCATGGAGCTGATTTTAAGAAAAATCCTTGTTATTCCTTTATATTTTTTAATCTCACGGGGACGAAGTCGCGAGCAACAACTAATTCATATTACAAAAGATAGAGCTTATTTTAATTTTATTAAATTTAAACTTTTATAAGTAAGTACCGGTAAGTACCGGTGAAAAAAAATTGTCCAGTATGCCATGTCTATATTTTTAAGCGTCTTTGGATACCCCTAATCTTCTATATCAATAACCTTATACCAGGACTTCATAACTCACCATAATCAGCATACGTCTGCGTGCGCGGAGACCAGTGGAGTTCATTCAGAAGTTCCTCATCGCCCAGCAGGTCTCTTGTAGCTTCGAATCTGAAAAAGCAGTAAATACCAAGACATCAGAAAATCATATTCTATCCCTTTCTTACAGATAGATACTGTAATATTGTGTCTCTTTCCCACACATATAAGTATAAACATTTTATTTACCAAGTACTAGGACATAAGATCATAATCTGTCCCTTTCTTATAGTGATACTTTAATTTTGTGTCTCTTTCCCACACATACAAGTATAAACATTCTATTTTATTGTTTAGTGAAATTCTTAATAGCAAATGGCAAAAATCAAATTCACAAATGACAACGAAGTTGATATTGGCTAACAATTACTGTTACCAGATCTTGCTTCTTTGCTACTGGCTTGTAGTTTTTGTCCCTTTTCCGCGTGAGGGTTTTATTTTTAAATTTTTTACCCCCTAAATTGAATATTGTGTAAATATATAGATTACAGAGTATAGTAAGTGTAGGGCTTTTTATTAGAACAAGAATTATTCAATAATATGATTGCTGACATCCTAATAACTAAGGGAGGAGGAAAGATTTGTATTTTTGTATGTATTGAAATAACTCAAAAACTACTGGATCGATTTTAAAAATTCTTTCACCGTTAGCAAGGTAATTTATCTGTGAGTAACATAGGCTACAATTTTTTAATTCACGCGGACGAAGTCAAGCTTACTTGGTGGTATCTCTGTGCAGGTGATAGGCGATGGTCGCCATAGCATCGGCGGCCGCGTACATCCAACAACGGAGGTCAACGTGTCGTTCAATACCTGATGGGTGTGATGCCCTGGTACAAAATAATTCCTCTCTTTATTACTGACTGACTAAATAAAAACCTTATTTTATTGTTTTGTACTCAAATGCAAATATCAAAAATCAAATGCACAAAGGACAACAAAGGATTTTGACATTAGATAACAATTACCGTTACCAATAACCTTGCTTCCTCAATGTTGGCAGTTTGTAGTTTATGGTCCTTTCACACATGAAGGTTTTTTCCAAATTTTTTAATCCCTAAGTTTAATAAGGTTGAAGAGCCTAAAATGTGGCTTATTATTAAAGAAAGAATTAATCAAAAATATACTTAGATTGCTGAAATTCTACATAACTAAGTCGTTTGTCTACACTTTATTACATTAGTATAGAATATAGATATATATAAAAGATATAGAAGTATTACGAAATACAGATAATTCCACTATTATGAAACTCATACTGTCATCCCTTTCACTCCCTTGGACAAAATAGAGATCAATATATGCGTTTAAACTTACCTAGGATAATCATCGAGTCCCGAAGTTAAAGTTTTAGGGTTAAGTTGGACGCCATCATCTTCTCTCCCCCTCCATCGGTACGAGGTGTTTTCATCCCCTTTCTGTGTGCTTTGGAACCATTGGTACCATGCCTGGAAAGGAATATCATACTAATATTATAAATGCGAAAGTTTAGAAGGATGGATGTTTGTTAGTTTGTAACCAAAACTACTGAACGGATCTCAATGAAATTTGGCATAGACGTAGAGGATAGTGTGGAAGAACACATATGCTACACAATTTTAATTCAATATACACGCGGACGGAGTCGCGGGCAAAAGCTAATCGATTACAAAGTGACAAGTACTAGGACTTCATAAAAGTATGAGTACCTGTAGTCTAGGGAACATTCGGTCTAATGTCCCGCGCAGCTTCTGTCCGGGTTCAAACAGTTGCGGGTTGCTGCGCACCAGATGCGCCAGCTGTACTAGCAGCATAGGCGGGTTGGCGGCCGCGTTGCTCTGCACTACAAACTCTTTGGGTACGCGGGCGATTGCTTCTACACCTACCAGGAGAACAGAAATATGCAATAAGTATGAGTAATAAAATATTTTTGTTTTAATGGTCAATGTAGTATTCACTAAAGGATTTGTCGTCTATTGCTGTGGAAAAGTGTTTTAGCCAAAGAGATTAAAAAAATATAGAGTAAGCATAGTTGACACTTTCATCATTTCATCATTAACAGCCTTAGGTCGTCCACTGCTGAACGTAGGCCTCCCCCATCGATTGCCACGATGCCCGGTCCTGTGCCGCCCGCATCCAGTGCACTCCCGCAACCTTGACCAGGTCATCGGTCCATCTTGCGGGAGGCCTACCTACGCTGCGACGACCTATCCGTGGCCGCCACTCCAGAACTTTTCGGCCCCATCGGCCGTCCGTTCTGCGGGCAATATGGCCGGCCCATCGCCACTTAAGGTTTGCAATTCTTCGGGCAATGTCGGTCACTTTGGTTCTGCTGCGGATCGCATCGTTCCTAACGCGATCTCGCAGAGAAACTCCGAGCATTGCCCTCTCCATTGCCCTTTGAGTGACTTTGAGCCGCCTGATGTTGCACGCAGTGAAGGGCCACGTCTCTATTCCGTAAGTCATCACTGGCAACACACACTGGTCAAAGACTTTTGTCTTGAGACACTGCGGTATGTCTTGGGACGAGAGGATATCTCGCAACTTCCCGAACGCTGCCCATCCTAGTCGGATTCGGCGATTGACCTCCCTCTCGAAGTTGGACCTACCAAGCTGGACAGTTTGTCCCAGGTAGACATACTCGTCAACAACTTCGAGAGTATGGCCTCCGATGGCTATGGGAGTGAGTGGAACATGAACATTCGACATGACCTTCGTCTTATCCATGTTCATCCTCAAACCCACTCGTTCGGAGGCCCTATTGAGGTCATCGAGCATTGTACCGAGTCCCTCCATGGTCTCAGCCATGACTACAATGTCATCGGCAAAGCGCAGGTGCGTGATGTACTCGCCGTTGATATTGATGCCAAGTCCTTTCCAGTCGAGGACTTTGAAAACGTCTTCCAACGCCGCGGTGAAGAGTTTCGGGGAAATAACGTCACCCTGTCTTACACCGCGGTGCAGTTGAATTGGTTTTGTGTCCTGACCCTGTACTCGGACTGACATGGTGGCGTTTTCGTACAGGCACCTTAGCGCTTGGATGTACCGGTAGTCAATTTGGCACCTCTGGAGAGACTGCAGTACCGCCCAGGTCTCGACCGAATCGAAGGCTTTCTCGTAGTCCACGAACGCTAAGCATAGTGGCAGGTTATACTCCTCGGTCTTCTGTATAACCTGCCGCAGCGTATGTATGTGGTCTACGGTGCTAAAGCCTTTACGGAACCCGGCTTGTTCGGGAGGCTGGAAGTCGTCAAATCTGCGAGCGAGACGATTCGTGATGACCCTCGAGAACAACTTATAGACATGGCTCAGAAGTGAGATGGGCCTGTAGTTCTTCAGGAGAGATTTATCGCCCTTCTTGAAGAACAGGACCACCACACTTCTGCTCCATGCCTGTGGCGTACGTCCCTCGAGAATGACGGAATTGAAGAGCTTCTGAAGAACCCTAAGTGCTGGTTCTCCAGCTGAGTTGGTTGGTTGGTTGGTGGTTCTCCAGTTGACACTTTACTTGAAACATTTTCACATTATGTACTAACCCTATCTATTGATAGATCCTCAAAACTACATTTCAATAATTAATTGTATTGAAATTATTTGCCAATAAGTAGTGTCATTAAAAAATTGAAACGTTTGTTAGTTTAATTTATAAGATGAAGCTTATTATAATTTTCTAAAATGTTTTATAACATGGCAATACAAACACGAGGTGGCAATATAACAACTAACAGTACCTTTCAAAGAAGTTACCAGTGAAAAAAATCACTGTCTAGTCTATATACTCTTAATGTCTGTTTTTAACTTACCCAGTATTTGTTCCCGTGGTATCCATCCTTCAACATTAATTAGGTCCAACCAGTGAGCCGCGATGTCCATCTGTATCTCAGGAGACCAGCGACCTACTAGGAGACCATGAAATCCCTCGTCCCATAAAAAGCCTCGAGGGAAGAACGACCTATAAAAACATTAGAAATTGAACCTTATAGTATAGTCATAAAGTTGATTTTACATTGACGGAATCTATACTAATATTATAAAAAAAGGTTTGTTAATTTGGATTTTTGTATGTATTGAAACAACTATACTACTAGGCCGATATTAAAAATACTTTTACCATTAAAAATATACTTTTTATTGTTTTTTAATTTCATACGAGTGATGTCGCGAGCGACAACTAGTTAAAAAATGCTTGTTAGAATTGAATAAATAACTAATGTCTTATGATGTAATAAAAAGCAGTACAAATGGCGTAAAATCCGTATTATTCTTAATTAATAATTTAAAAAAAAAACATCAGGAAAACATGACTAAGGGCCTATCCCACCACTGGCTGTTAGACTCAGATAACTTAAAAATGACGTCACAGTCAGATAAGGGAACAAAATCAGATATTTCCATAACATATTTTACACGTTGGATTATTAGACAATTTACAATTTGGTGTGACAGGCCTAAGACTAATTTGCCCTACCTGCTTGGTACTGCGGTATACAACGGCGCCCTCCAGTAGGGCACCGGCTCACTGGTATGAGGAGATTGCACTCTGCCCGCCCCATAGAAATATCCGATTCCACCAATCATATTGGATAGTGCCGCTTTAGCTACAACCACGTCCAGGTCTGAGTACCTGGTAGTTTAGAAATTGTTTACTTCACGACTTTACTATAATATGGTAGACAGAGAACTAGCAATGTTACATTTAAAACTACATTTTGCCCGCGAGTCCGTCCGAATTAAAAAAACTAACAAGACTATGTGTCTTTTCAGACTTTGTTCTATATATAATTTTACTTACAATTCTACAATTTCATCGAGATCTTTTCATCCGTTTCGAAGATATTTTTAGTAAACATCCATCCATACATACAAAATTTCGCATTTTTAACATAAGATTTAAAAAAAGAATTTTAGAAAAACAATTTTTTTTTCATAACCTTGTAATATTTGGCTATACTTATCTTGCTAATTTTATAAATGCCAAAATTTGGATGTATGGATGTATGGATGTATGGATGGATGGATGTCTGTTAGTTTGTGGCCTACTAATTGGATCTTGATAAAATTTGTCATAGTAATACATAGTCTGGAAGAACACATATGCTACATTCTAAGTTTGGCTATACATATGATACAATCTATATTTTCAATTCCGCACGGACGGAGTCGCAGGTGAAAACTAGTTTTACAATAATCACTTCATTTATGTCACATAATAAATTAAAAAGTGAAACATTTTAAGCCATGTATGGAAGTTCCTGTTTTCATAGTTTTTTTTATAGTTTTTAATACATACTTCTTATCCAGTTTGAATTTTCTTTCAAATTCCTCGTCAAATAAGAACCTCTTGATTTCCAATTCTCTCGTATATTCATCCCCTTTCAGTGGTGGTGTAGGCAGATCTTCTGTACTGTATACTACGTCCAATAAAAATGGAGTTTCTACTATCATTTGAACAGGAACGAAATTCGCGTTAGAGTCCTGCGGGAATAAAGTACTAGGAGTTCATAACAGCAAATATATTGCATAAATTGATTGACCGCACAATTAGGAGCAAAAAAGACAAAAGTATAGTCATTTCCCCCTTTCCCTCTGGATAAAGAGAGATAGCTATATGTGTGTGTTTCGCCACATTAAAGAATAATGAAAAATGTTATGGTTTAGTTTGCTAAGATATTCAAGACCTTCTCACTATGTTCATAAAGTTACAAACCTGATCGTTGACTTTATTGTCCGGTTGCAATATTGGCATCTGTGGAATTGATCTGTACTTATCTTTACTAGGCTTCAGTAATGAATAAAACTTCTCCTTTAAAACATGCAGCCCTGGTGCTATTGCTTCTGAATATGATGTATGGTGGAGTTTACCTGAAAAAAAAACTTTCTTTTTTACCTAACCAGCAAGTACAAGGGGGTTAGCACGAAAATTTTTGAAAAAGTAACCCTATCACATCAACTAAATTTTTTATTACACAAGCTTTTGCCCACAACTTTGTTCACTCGGTAAACATAATATGCAAGTATCCTATATTTTCCAGGTTACATTCTACATATGTGACAAATTTAATAGAAATCCATTAAAGCGTTTCGGACATTCAAACTTTCACATTTATGTAATAACTAGCTTCCGCCCTGGAATTGTGTTCATCCAGACTATTTTTACATAAAATGTATTGTCTCAGTTATATTGAATACAATTATTTAATAAGATTTCGCTTGTATGAAATTAAAAAAATAGTAAAAATACAGCCTATATTACTCAGTGATAACATAGCTTTTTAACAGTGGAATAATTTTTGAAATCAACCCACAGGTTGAGTTATTTCAATACATATAGAAATCCCAAAAATACAAATCAATCCTCTTAATAATCTATACTATTATAATAAAGCGTAAACACACACTTCTTTGTTGCCTAAGATGTCAGCAATTACAGCATATTTATTAATAATTCTTTTTTAATGAAAACCCTACACTCACGTCACGCTTTAGGCTATATATTTTCACGCTACTAAACTTAGGGGTTAAATATTTTGGATAAAACCCCTAATGTGGGAAAGAGACCATAAGTTGTTGCCAACATCAAGGAATCAAGATTGCCAAGGTTTGTCATGTCATTTTGACATTTGCTATTGATAATTTGACAAATGTAAACAATAAAATGCAATTTTCATAATTTCATGCGGATGAAGCCGCATGGGAACAGCTAGTATTAGTATAGATACACACAACAATCAACTTACCTTCATGTACAAAATTCAATCTAAAGTTATGCAACTGCGGAGTATGACCAAGCATAGATCCACCCTCCATCCAAAGTCGAGAAGTTGGTGCCGCAGGTCCCAAAGACTCATCCAATGCTCCATACCAGACTAAACCTAGGACTCTCTTCTTGTTGTCCTGAAATAATATTTATTTGAAATATTAGGGATTTTTCTTTATTAACTGATGAGATTCAAATACAGGGAAGAGGCAGGCAATGATTTACTTGAAACATCTTACTAATATTATAAATGCGATAGTTTAGATGGATAGATGGATGGATGTTTGTTAGCGTTTGTAGCCTAAACGGCTGAACGGATCTCCATGGAATTCGGCACAGGTTTAGAGCATAGTCTGGAAGAACACATAGGCTACTTTTTATCCCGGGAATAGTTACGGTTCCCGTGGGATTCACTAAATTAGTTTTTTAATGTTTACTCGATCATTCTGCAACGGTTCAACATATCTTATTGAAAATTGGCACAGATATAAAACAAAGTCTGGAGTACACATGGGATAAGCTTCATTCCCGAGAAATGTCCGGTTCCCGAGGGATACGTAGCTTTTTGTAATTCATATATATAGTTCGTATGTTTTCTAATACTACGAGGACGAAGTTGCGGGCAACAGCTCGTTTTTTATATAGTTATCCCTAATCTATGTGGTGATAAATTGTCAAAAACCAATAACGTTCAATCTATCTATATATATACATGTAATAAAATTGGAGTGTCTGTTTCGACTTTGTCCACGCAATATTAAGATTAAAAAGTAGCCTATAACATGCCCCTCTATGTCAGCTACCCTTCAGTGAGAGTCCGGTCGAAATCGGCGCAGCCGTTTCGGAGATTACCCGGAACAAACGCGGCTTGCGAACAGACAGACAGACAGACAAAAATTTGTTAAATGCTATTTTCGTTATCAGCAACGCAAATACATCGTCTTCCTGAAATGTGGAATTTTTCTTTCGATATTACGAACAGACACTCCAATTTTATTATTTGTATAGATTTAGATAGATGTAGAGGATAGAAAGGAGTGGATTCAGATATGACGGGTGATACAAATGTATGGAAGAGAAGTACATATTGTGTCGATTCTCCATAAGGGATGAGGGCAAGTTGATGATTATGTACTCACATTTGACGTAACATTAATCCTAGCTGTCCAATGTCCTCCATGCTCCCCACCTGGGGTCTTGATAAACGAAGTGGAAATTTTAAGTGGTGTATCCAATATTATTTGCTCACCAAATGACACCCCGTCATGTCTCATCCAGCCATATGACATTAAAAGATCATTTTGATCACACCAATGTCTGAAAAGAAGAGACAAAAGCTATTAATTATTAAAAGAAATAACTAGCTGTGCCTGATTTGTAATAATAATAATAATAATAATAATAATAATACACATTTAATCAGTTCCAAAACACACTGCAACACAATACAACATAATACACTTGAACAAAAAAAAAAATACAAACGAGAACAACGAAAACCAATCATTAACAATCAAAACTAATGACAAGAAAATTGAAGAGGAAAAAAAAAACAAAATATATAAACAATTTGTACTGGAGTGATGACTGAGATGATGGATGATAGTTATTTGGAGGACGAAATCCCGGTGCGCCGACCCAGAGTAGGATAAGGCAGGGAAGATGATGATGAACTAGCTGTGCCCACGTGCTTTATCCACTCGTAATTATAAAAATATTATTTTATTGTTTACTTTTAATTGCAAATGTCTTAATTCAAATAAAGGCAATGCAAAAACAATAGTACCTAACTGTGCAATACACTATTTTTGTGTGTATCTGTGTTTTTAACATTGTAATTACAATGATGGTCAGTTAATACATCTTGGACTTGACACCTGCGTTTTATTTCAAACATTACACTAACAATTACAATTACCTTGGATATCCAGTTTCTTAGATGCTATTAGCTTGTGGTTTTTGGCCCTTTCCCCACATATTTTTTTATTTTTTAATTTCATTCACCCCTAAGCTTAATAGCATGAAAACATAGCCATTTAAGTGTAACACCTTTTATTAAAAAAAAAAACCTTAAAAAGTATGCTATGATTGTTAACACCCCACATAACAAAGTGTGTTTTCTTTATTAGTATAGAAAAAACTATATTACCTTATTCCTTTGTGTGTATCACCTATTTCATACCACATCAAACCAAACACTGGTGAACGGGGCTCTCTACTTTTAAGACCAAAGTATACCCCTGGTCTATATGTACCCCAATATCTGTCTGGTACTTCTAAACCAGATTCTAAAACTGCCTGAAAACATTAAATAAGTAACTTTAATCAACTAAAACAACCCAGAAAATTGTACTTCTGTATGGACAACTGCTTTTTTAACATCTCATTTAGTGTCCCACTTTCACATAATACGTATTTTCTACCATTTAGCTATATATTCAATCTAGTTACTAAATATCCACAAATATAAATAATAAATCTTACTAATATAAATGCGAAAGTATAGGGAGATGGATAGATGTTTGTTAGAGTTTGTAGCCTAAACACCTCAATGGATTTTAATAAAATTTGGTATATACGTAGACTATAGTCTGGAAGAACACATAGGCTATTCACTTTTGTTTTATTACATTCTACGCGGACGGAGTAGCGGGCGAAAGCTTGTTGGTTATAATTCTAAACTATCTCTTACCTTTTCCCCAACAAGAGGCGTATTTACGCGGGTTTCTAAATAACCTAGAACACCAACATAAATCGCGAAAGCAAGGCATGGGCATCCTATAGCAGTCTTCCAAAATGATGATAAACGAAACCAACTTGAGTTTGCAGCGCTTTCCGAATTTTTACTTGTATCGTTATTATTCCCATGTTTATTTTGCGAATTGCCAACTTTTCTGTGTCTAACCATCTTATATCGATATGTAAATTTACAGTAAATTAAATTTTAATTAGTTTACATTTAATTGATAACAAAAATATGTTAAATGGGAAGCGGCATTTACTTTACAACACTTCACAATTTGGCAAAAAAATGCAATTCGATTCGTAAACGTCAATACATAAATGTTGCTATAACATAGGTATTTAATAAATTTCAAAACTTTTCCAAAACTTTTTACACAATGATTTTATAATGTTTTTTTTTATTTAAATTCTACATTAATCAAAGGTGTTGAACTAAAACATATCAATGTAAAATTAGACATTTCTTAAATTATGTATGATAAAAAATAAAAATTAGGCAGCAACATAACAGAGAAGTTCGGTCCAAAAAAGTCCTCTAATGGTGAATATTTTAAGTTTCAATTTCTACGTTATTAAAGCACTTTTAACTTTCAAATATTTTAAATTTCTTTCGTCCGCGCCACTTGGTATAAGGTCGATAAAACAGTTGCTATCGACGTCGGTAAAGCAGACCCCTACCGCGATGGCGTTCCCACCTCGCCCCGCGCGACGCGATCCCCAGTGCGATCGAGCGAGGCGCGCGTGCTTGTACCGCTGTTGGGAACGATGATATTAGCTACGCGTACACGAGGACGCTTTTAAAGACTTCAGTGAAATAATGTAAAACGCCTAGCGACAGGCCGCTCGGACCGACCGGCGGCTACCTGCGAGTGTAAACTCGACCCTCCGAAAAAAGATAAAAAAAAAACGCTAAACTCCTATGTCAGTGCGGTCGGATTGTGTTTGTGTAGTGTAGTTTGAAAATAGTTAAATGGATCAGGCTGCGATGTTCGTATGAGGAAGAAAGGGAACCGGAACATTGTAAGTGAACGAGTGTTATTTCAGTTAAGATGCGGGGTGGCCCGCCCCGGTGGGTAAGCGAGCGGGGCGGTCGCTGAACAAGCCACGGAGGTACGGAGGTCTAACCCTCGTATACTCACGTTTTTTTTTACTCCCAAGCAGGTCTCTAACCCCTTTTTTATGCGTCGCGTTATACCGAATGTTTACGCTTTTAGGTTATGAAATCGTTTGACGTTAAATTAGGCATAACTTATCTGTGCATTCAGTTTTCATACAACTTTGCAAAACATTGGTCTATTATCGAAATAAACCACAAATATATTGCTATCCCTTTCATTTACTTTGTAATAACAGAGATAACATGTAGAAAACGACAGTGGGATTACATGGCTAGAAATTAAATTTAAAATTAAATCTAATACTAAAACCACGATTTTAGTATTACTATGGTGACTAATCAACAATCATCTTGGTTTACGAAACATGTGTAAAATAAACAATTATTGTGACGTCATTTGTTATTGTTTTGCTAGTCATAATGCATAAATAACACTTGTAATAAAATCTTTAATAAATCTAATATATTAAGTATATTTTGCCCAAAACTCTTTCCGCGTGGAATTAAAAAAAAAATCAGTAGCTTGTCTTCCAGATGTCATCTATATTTGTACCAATTTACATCGAGAGTTTAGGCTACAAACTCTAACTAACATCTATTCGTAAGAAGTAAGATATAATATTAGTAAGAAATAAGATTTGATTCATAATTTTATGTGTAACGAAAAAACTCGAAAATTACTGGAACGATTTTAATTCTTGTACCATTAAAAAGTTAGTTTTTTTGAGTATCATCATCATCATCATCGCCATCATCAGCATTATCTACCCACTTGGACAAATGCCTTCTCTAATACCTCCCACAGAATTCGAGATTTTTATTTAAATTTCGCGCAGACGAAGTCGAGAGCAAAAGCTAGTACCTATATTATAACAGTCTTAGGCGTAGTATAAGCAAATATTAGTACAAATTTTGCTTACACTTAATTTATTCCTAAGTTTAACTTTTTACCCTTTATTTGTAAGGCTGTTAAAGTTAACGGAGTCATGGTCATAACCCACCTGAGCTGGTTGGTCAAGAGCTTGACAAAATATATTTACATTTTTCTCAAGCTCTTGACCTAACCACGACTATGTGACCCTCTGACGCCAAAGCTGGATCCGCCCTTAAGAGTATAGCCAAAAACCTTTCCTAAAACAGATCGCATCTATGATTTTCTAAACTGTCAGTTTTAACTAATCTGTCTGTTGTCTTAATTTTGACGTAGGTAGGCAAAATACAGTTTGACTGTAAATTGCAATATTTCTACACACGTAGTTTTAAAAGAATTCGTCTCCAGGTGAAACTTAGAGCTATCAGCACTAAGTCTGTAGCGAGCCTAACTGCTATTGTCAAAGAAAGAGATGCCAATAACAACAAGAAATTTGAAAATCGAAACCCAACAATTTTCACGTAAATAAACTGATCGTCAGAAAACAAAACACTTATGAGATCAAATACATCACCTTTTATGTGTTAAATCCTTACGAATATTACTAATATTATAAACTAGCTTACGCCCGCGACTCCGTCCGCCCGGAATAATAAATAACAAATGTAAGTAGCCCATGTATTCTTTCAGACTATCCTCTATATCTATGCTAAATTTCATCGAGATCTGTTCAGTAGTTTAGGCTACAAACTCTAACAAACATCCATACCTCCATCTAAACTTTCACATTATAATATTAGTATGAAATATGATGTAAAAATTTAGATGGATAGATATTCGAGCCTAAACGTAGCGGATCTCTATGAATTTCTTAATGTCACGCAAACAGAGTCGCCGGCGAAAGCTAGTTTTTAATAAATAATTAACGAAATAAGCATAAACGTGTACTATCGCAGAAAAACTAGCTAGTTAGAAAAAGACGTATGGAAAAAGCTTATTTTTTTGTAGCATATCTTGACAGAAAAAAAACACAATAACATCCTGTCACAATAATATCCTGTCATAAGCACTATAAATTCATTCTATAATTTAGATAAAGTACACACTAGTAATAATTATGCCATCGACCTACGTTCGTCATCATCTTCCCTGCCTTATCCTACTCCCGTAGGGCGCACCGGGTTTTCGTCCTCCAAATAACTCTATCATACGTCATCTCAGTGATCACTCCCTTGATCATGTCACCTTTCACGCAATCCATCTCTTTCTATGACGACGTTCGTGTATGGCCCTTAATTACGAACGGTCATCTTTTAACCCAAATATGACGTCACGGATGTAGATAAATTATCAACAATTCCTTAATTTAGATAAAGAAATTCTGAAAAGAATCTTCAGACAATCACTAAACTACAAAATAAGCTATTCATGTCAAAATTTACGATTTTTCATTTACGATCCGAATATCTAGTCAAAGCAAGCGGGGATCCAGAATAACGCTGTTTATTTATTTATTATTAGTTCCTTAACATTAATAATAATCAAACACCAATGTTACTCTCAGATAAGTTACCTTTCTGATGGTGAAAAAATTTTTAAAATCGGACCAGTAGTATTTGAGTTATTTCAATACATACAAAATTACAAATCTTTCCTCTTTATAATATTAGTATAGACTGTATCGCCGGAACAGCTCAAACATCTCGACTAAATTAGTCACAGATAGCTGTTGTGTAATTAAAAAATAATAAAAAAAATAGCCTACGTTATTCTCAATAACATAGGTTGTTAATGGTGAATGAATTTTTAAAATCGGTCCAGTAGTTTATGACTTACTACATAAATACAAATCTTTCCCCTTTATTATATTAGTATGGACCTAGAAGATTATCTGGATGAACACATAGGCGACTAAGGGCCTGTCCCACCAAATTGTAAATTGTCTGATAACGCAACGTGTAAAATATGTGATGAAAATATCGGAATTTATCTGATAGTGACGTCATTTTTAACATATCTGAGCCTCTCTAACAGCCAGTGGTGAGACAGTCCCTGATATTTTTTTTTAATTTATGCGACAGCTATTCTTTGATAATAAGATTACGTTATTATTATTACCTATTATTTATCTATAGTATAGACGTAAGATCGGCAACATTGCACGGAACGGCAACGCAAGACCTCGTAAAAGTTTTTTTGTTTTTTTTTTGTTTGTCATCTTAGATTGTAGGAACGTTTTATGTAACAAAAGTTTTGTTTTACCTGGTAAATGAGGTAGGCGGTGAAGAGAATTAGATCTTTTTAAATCAATAAAATATTGGTATTTAACGTACAGCCAAAACTACTAAAGCCAGACAGTCCTTGTGTAGTGTGTACAGATATGTACTTTTCCATACATATCTATCAGCTTGAATATTTTTTTATATTAAAAAGTGGCATACGAGCGAACTCCTACCTGAATTCGCCGAAAAAGCGAAGCTATCGCTGCCATATACATCTGCAATTGCAAATGCCTACCCTTAATCAACAGAGGAGACTCACATAAAGAGGATATTTCCCCTTCCTTAAGTCATTTCCATAAATTCTGATTAAGTTTTTTAATTTCTATACTAATATTATAAAGCGGAAATTGTATTATAGTGTGTTTTGGTATAACTAAGAACTACTGGGTCGATTTCATAAATTATTTCATCTATAATAACAATTTTTATTTCCTCACGGACGAAGACGCGAACAACAGCTAGTTTATTATAAATGTCGAATATTTAAGTTTAGTGAAAGAACTTGGAATTCATAATTGCGTAAACCGAAACGAGTTACATTTGTCGAAGCGTATGAGATAGGTTAGTACAAAAACTACGTCCCCGCTAGGACCGGTTTTTATTAGTCTACGTAAGCTCCTGATATATTCTGCTAGCCTGGTACTTTTTCACACAAGTATTTGTAAATCAAAATATTCGATAATCCGTTTTTTTTCTCCTTTTTTTCTTATAGAGTGACAGAGATGACAATGGTATTTGATTAGAAATTCACTTGATAGAGCAAGTAACAAATAACTTTTTAGGCTTTTACAAATTCCTATCGAAAAGTACTGCAATGCCCTTGTATGACCTTGAACTGACACTATTTGAAAACAATTAACTCGTGTACACTTGCTATCTTCGTTTATTTCGGAGAGAAAAAGAGGGACAGCGTAGTTTTGTTACAGTAGAGATTCAACGGACATAATTGTTTATTTAAAATCTATACTTATAATAAAATTGGAGTGTCTTTTTGTAATATCAAGAGAAAATCCGGATTTC